CATACTTGAAGCGCCACGTCGTCCACAACATTGCGGATGAAAAGGTTGGGGCGAACTTGCTGAGTGAGAAGGAGAGGTCGGGGCAACAATAACTTGGCCAAAGTTGTCGCCCCTGCACATCCTGCCACCACAGCTACATTCGCCGAGTAAGCGCGCGAAGCTGCTTCTCCATACAGTAGCGCCTTATATCCCGCATATATCGAGCAGTGCCCCCTGAGGACCTTGATGGGGAACCCATACTGGGGCCCAGCAGCTTGGAGATATGTTCGTAAAACCTGCTCAAGTCCACCAAGACAGACCCACTCAGCCGTCGTCGACCGAGAAAATCTGCGCCTCTGGTCCTTTTCCCAAACCGATGCCAGGGAAACAACTTTCGATTTCGGTCCCGCAGCCCTGCCCACGTATGCCCTGGAGCACTGAGGGTCTATCCCATGGATCTGGATCAGGCGCCGCTCCGAGAACCCAAACCACTCCTTCACCATGAGGTCCAGATCTGCTGGCCCCCCCCACATCCCAAGACCAATTGTGCTCGACTGGGGCCTGCAGGGGGCCAAGGAGCTCCAGTGGGAAAGCTTTGAAGCGCACTTGCTGGTTGATCGTTTACACAGGGCTCAGATCCTTTAGCTTTAAGACGACGGGCGCGCGCGGGTAGAGCGGAGCCTGGTCCATGACCGAGATCTCCTCGACACGCGTGGTCAACACCTCTGCAACCACAGAGAAATCGAGGATCCTACTAGCATCAGCAGCTTGAACTGGACCAGCTGTTGCGCCCAAGATGACCCAGTCGTCCGAGGTGCCCTGCGAGTCCTTCTGAGGTACCAGTTGAGCCTCCTGGGGGTTCGTCGTCCTGCAAGTTGGGGTCTCTGGTGCCACTAGAACCCCGCGAACCTTCTGCAGCCACCCTAAACCCTGAAACGCGTCTGGCTCGAAGTTGAAGTCCCCTTGGAGCACCCAGGGCCTATCTTGGGCCATGATGTAGGCCCCAACCTTCTGCGAGAGGTCCAAATTGGGTCCTGGGAGCTCCTTGCCCGTCACCATGTACATACTAATGACGATTATGCCCTTCGGGAACCCTACGTTGACTGTCCTGGCCACCACCCTGCTAGAGCAATCCTCACATACCGTGGTCGCCGTGGGTGTCGAGCCTAGTGAAGTGCGAGCTCCTACTGCAACGCCTGAACTGCTCTGCTGCGATGATGGCCCCGTACTGTGAGCCATTCCAAAAGAAAAGTGATACCCATGCCTGCGTCCCCAGCTCATCGCGGAGACCTGCTTGGTGTCACTCTTGATACGCGCCTCTTGATGCAGCAGACCTGCGGGAGCGGAAGGGCACCTCCAGCTTTGCCTTCGTCGGCCATCCACTCCATCACTGATTCGAACGTGGTCCAGGCATTGACGCTCATGCCTGCAATGACGAGCGTGCTGACTGCCACCGATTGAGGTTGCCGACGAGCCTCCTCAGCGGCAAAACTCTTCGCCTGCAAAGCGGAGCCCTGTACATCACGACGTGCACATTCGCCCGCTAGAAGATTACGAGCAGGAGGTGTGAGCGCCCCCCTGTCGAGTTCTAACCGGTGTTTCGTATCCGAATCCAGCTCAACGTGGGGAGAGGGGATCGCGGTCTCCACAACCGCAGCCAGCTGTGCCAGCGGCCCCAGAAGGTCGGTACCCTCTGGCTCCACAAGGCTGACGAGGTGCGCTGAGCGGTGCGCGCCGACGGCAGCTGCCGAAGGTCGGTACCCTCTGGCGCCCTCAATGCCAGCAGGTGGTGCTGAGCAGTGCGTGCCTACAGGGGCCCACGCCGAATGCGCCGATGTACCCGCCTTCTGAGTCGACGAAGCGGCCCTCTGCGTCGCACATGCCCCCAAACCCGAAGTGGGCCAGTTGGGGGGGGGGGCCCTCGAAGTCCCGCTGGTCCTCCCAGTCCCTGCGGCGACTTCTGCGGCTCCAGAGGAGCCGTGAGTGCGCCACTCGTCGCAGTCGCCGCGCGCGAACCTGACGAACTAGAAGCCCCAGTGCCTGAGGGCGGAGGGGTGTGACTTCCAGGGGCTGAATCCCTGTCCCCTCCGCCCATGGGCCCACGGCCCGCGCCGCGTCCAGCGCCTGGAAGTGGCCACGCTGCAAGGTCCAGCAGAGGCGCGCCCACGACGTCCATCTGCCTGAACAGGGTCGACTCGAACAGCAGGTCGTCCCTCATGGCTGCAACTGCGAAGCCCGTGGCCTGCTCCCAGTCGTAGTCGATCATGCTGCTTCCGAGGAGCCGCTCTAGGTTAGCCATGCCAACCCTGCCGCCGACGACAACGCTCGGGTTAGGCACTCTTCCTAGCACGCTTAATTCCGATGGCCAGAGCTGCCTCGAGGTACTTGCGTTTGGCTGCGTCCAGAGCCTCCTGAGGTCCGTCCTTGGCTGCCTTGAGTTCCTCGGCGGCCTCGTTGAAGGCCTGCGTGCGCTCTTCGAAGTCTTCGCCTCCAAGCAGCTCCATGTCGATGTCGTCGCTGTCGCCGTCCTCGGCGGAGATGTGCTCTCCACTGGCAGCAGTAGTTGGGTGAGCACCACTAGCAGCACCTGCAGACGCAGCAGCGGCCCGAGCAGCCACTTGAGCTTCTTGTTGCAGCTGCTGCGGCTTCCCCAGCGCGGCCTTGCCCTCGGTCGATTCGACGACAGATGCGTCGAGCCCAGCCGACATGGCCTTGAGCGGGTCGTCGAACTCGTTGGCGTGCGCCTTGCATCGCAGCTCCTGGGCCTGCACAAGGTCCTCACGTCCTTTGTCGAGATTCGTCTTGGCCGTCGCGAGCTCCCCCTCCAAGGCTGCGCGCTGGCGCTCGATCTCATTGATCCGCGCCTCCATCTTCGTGACCTTGGACTTGAGGTTCTCGACCTTCCAGCGCACCGACTGTGCCGTGGGCGCCCGCTTCTTCGCTTCCGTAGCCTTCTTCTCCGCCTCCTCGACTGCCGCAATGGCCGAGTTGTCGACCCCAAGCTTCTTGAGGTAAGCGAGCACGTCTTGTCTTGAGGATGGCTGCGCAGATCCACCTCCGCTGCTGCCTCCTCTACCTCCGCCTGCACCTCCAGTGGCCCATGGAGGCGCCCCTCCTGACGGCGGCGGGGTCCCTCCCCCAGTGAGCTGGGCAACCTGCTGCTGCAAGTCCTGGAGCTGCCTGAGCATCTTCGCGTTGGCATTCCCTGGGGGGCCCTGAGCCCACTTGCCGAGCGGCTTAGGCTTGGGCCCCTGCGGCTGCTGAGGCACACGCGCTTTGACAGCAGCCTGGCGTGCAGCCTGGATGGTCTTCTGCGCTGCAGGGCGACCGCACAGACGGCACGATAACCTCGACGCCCAGTTGTCGGCCACGCCGCACGAGCACCCCCAGTGAGGCGTGCGCGGCCCTGGCAGAACTTGACCATCGAGGGGGGCCATCCACGGCGGGGACCCCCGCGCGGATGACTGGCCACGCGGGCCGCGTGAAAGTTGGAAAGATTGGCCCGCAAACGCGAACCGCTCTGAATTACGCGCTTGCAAGCTCAGCCCCAACGGCCTGAGCCAGAACGGCTCTGATGAGGATGATGAGGATGAGGACCAGGATGAGGATGAGGATG